GCCTGCAGTCGGAAGGTGGCCAGCTGACTCCGCACGCACGCCGGCCCGTGACCGCCCTCGTCCAGTGGCAGGGCCAGGACCCCAGCCGCGACCCGGTGTCCTCCACCCGACCAGAAGAAGTCGAGGACTCGCTTCTGAAGTGCGTTGACGAGGCTCATGGGGGGGTGCAGGGAGAAGAGTCGGTGTCACAGCATGGACGTCACCAGCTGGTTCACCACCAACGTCTTTGTCCTGAAGGTGAGGAACTTGCACAGGCAACTCCAGGTGCCCAGCCGCTCCTTCACCTTCTACTCCAGCTCGACCCAGTTCCTCTGCGGTGGTTCCTCCTCTGGTCCCAGGAACACCCCCAGGGGGTGCTGCAGCGATGTTGTGCTCCAATTGATGGCTTTTACCTTTTCGGGACACTCGGTCATGTCCCAACCAGCAGGCCGCTGCACTTTTCTCAGTACATTTTTGATGAGGAGGCCTTCGAAAAGACCTCCTGGCACTCGTGCAGCAGGGCGACATCATCCAGGGGAGCGCAGGATGATGAGGAGGACGTCGTCGGCGTACGCCGTCAGGACCAACTTGACGCTTGGTTCCCTGAGCACCGGGCCGCTGAGTCTCCGCCTGATGAGACTCGGGAAAGGCTCTAATGCCAGGGCATGAAGTTGGCCTGACAATGGGCATCCCTGTCTCACTCCTCGCTCGAATTTGACCGGGGCGGTGAGGGCGCCGTTGGCCTTGACCACGCACTCCGCCTCGGTGTAGAGTAGGCGGATCGTTCGGACAAAGTCATCCCCAAAACCAAAGGTGTTGAGGGTTCCCAGCAGGTACTTGTGGTGGTCCATTCTGTCAAAAGCCTTTTCCTGGTCAAGGGCCAGAAACGCGATTGGGATGCCCGACCTCTGGGACACCGCAATTAGGTCCCTGATTCTCTCTCTTTCTCTCCCCTCTCTCCCCACTCCTCTCTCTCCCCCTCTCTCTCTCTCCCCACTCCTCTCTCTCCCCCTCTCTATCTCCTTCTCTCACTTCCCCCTCCTCCCCCCTCTCCCCCCCTCTCTCTGTCGAGTCGACGCGAGGTGTTTTTGCTTTCGCTGCTGCTGCTGCTCGTGGTGGTGCTACTGCAAGCAGCCATGCGACCACTTATAGGAAACCCCCCGCCCCCGTGACACCCCCACCCCGTCACCACTCCTGTCACCCCGACCCCCACGTCACCCCTCGTGTACCCCCCCTCGCCTGGGAGTGAACCGCGAGCCTCACCCCAGGTTCAAGTGTCTGTGTGACTTTGTGTGTGTGTGACTTTGTGTGTCTGTGCGACTTTGTGTCTGTGTGTCTGTGCGACTTTGTGTCTGTGTGGTTTTGTGTCTGTGCGTCTGTGTGACTTTGTGTCTGTGTGACTTTGTGTGTGTGTGTCTGTGTGTCTGTGCGACTTTGTGTCTGTGCGACTTTATGTCTGTGCGTCTGTGTGACTTTGTGTCTGTGTGACTTTGTGTCTGTGTCTGTGCGACTTTGTGTCTGTGTGACTTTGTGTCTGGGCGACTTTGTGTCTGTGCGACTTTGTGTCTGTGCGACTTTGTGTCTGTGACTTTGTGTCTGTGTGACTTTATGTCTGTGTGACTTTGTGTCTGTGTGTCTGTGTGTCTGTGTGACTTTGTGTCTGTGTCTGTGCGACTTTGTGTCTGTGTGTCTGTGTGACTTTGTGTCTGTGCGACTTTGTGTCTCTGTGTCTGTGCGACTTGGTGTCTGTGTGTCTGTGTGACTTTGTGTCTGTGTCTGTGCGACTTTGTGTCTGTGTCTGTGCGACTTTCTGTCTGTGCGACTTTCTGTCTGTGCGACTTTGTGTCCGTGTGTCTGTGCGACTTTGTGTCCGTGCGTCTGTGTGACTTTGCGTCTGTGCGACTTTGTCTGTTGAGGCCGAGTCGACCTAGGGGAGGCCCCGTGCCGGTTCGGATAATCCGTCACCGCTCGCCGTCGGCGGCGGCCGTGGGCGGGGATCGAACTCGGCTCGCAGTGCCCGCGCCGCTGCACAACAGACAAAGGTCCCCCGTGTAGCCTTCAACAGCACGCTGGGGGCAAGTGCCATTCGCGGGGAGCGGAGGGTTCAGCGGCGGAGCGCGCTAACCGCTGCGCCACCGCTCCCACGCACACCAAGTGGGCGGTGACGTCACCACGGCGACTCGTGCCAGGCTAGGTGTACTTTGCACAACACAGACAAAGATCCCACACCGTGTGGGCCCTGTGACAGGCAGCAGCAGCAGCCCCTACCAAGAACGTCAACTGGGGCAGTCCCACCAAGCCCGGCCGCCTTTGTCTCCCCCCCCCCCCCCCCCCCCCCCCGTAGAGCCGATGCCTCCGCATCGCGCCGGGTACTCGGTTTTTGAGGTCGAGTCGATCTAGGGGGGGGAGAAGCGAGGCACTTGACCCAACGGTGGGTTGGCGGCTACCTGGGCGGTGTGGGGCACCTTTGTCTGTGCGTCGTCAGCAGCGCCTCCCTCCAGCGCTGTCGCTACGCATCGCCACATCTCGGCGATCGTCAGGAATGAAAACAAATCATCAGCATCGTCACTATCATCATCGTCAGCATCGTCACTATAATCATCATCAGCATCGTCACCATCGTCAGCATCAGCATGAGCATCAACATCGTCATCATCAGCATGATCAGCATCGTCAACATCAACATCACCTGTTGCCCAGACGCTCCAACGTTGTGTCAATGTCTAACACAGTTTCATTTCCTTGTCGTCTCCTCCATCTGCACTCACCGCTGATTCACCCACTCACTCACCCACTCACTCACCCACTCACTCACTCACTCGCTCACTCACTCACCCACTCACTCACTCAATCACTCACTCACTCACCCACTCACTCACTCACTCGCTCACTCACCCACTCACCCACTCACCCGCTCACTCACTCACTCACCCACTCACCCACTCACTCACCCACTCACCCACTCACTCACCCACTCACCCACTCACTCACCCACTCACCCACTCACTCACCCACTCACTCACCAACACACCCATCACTCCATCTCTTGTTCAGCCTCTGGCACTCACTCACTCACCCACTGCTCACTCACCCACTGGTCACTCACCCACTCACTCACCCACTCACCCACTCACCCACCCACTCACCCACTCACTCACCAACACACCCATCACTCCATCTCTTGTCCAGCCTCTGGCACTCACCCACTCACTCACTCACCCACTGCTCACTCACCCACCGCTCACTCACCCACCGCTCACTCGCCACTCACTCGCCACTCGCCCACTCACTCACCCACTGCTCACTCGCCACTCGTCACTCGCCCACCGCTCACTTCCACCACACAGCAGCGGGTATTCGTCAAGGCCGAGTCGATCTCGGGCCTGCGTAGACAGCCCAGGAACTGGTGCCGATGCATCGCTCGCTAGCCGCGACCGCAGAGTCCAACTCGGGTGCCGTGCCGGTGTCGTTCCGTGGTGCCGTGCCGGTGCCGTGCCGGTGTCGTGCCGAGTGGCGTGTTGTGCCGGTGTCGTGCCGGTGTCGTGCCGTGCCGTGCCGGTGTCGTGCCGAGTGGCGTGTTGTGCCGGTGTCGTGCCGTGCCGTGCCGGTGTCGTGCCGAGTGGCGTGCCGTGCCATGCCGGGTGCCGTGCCGTGGTGTGGCGACGTGGCCGCTGACCCCCCGCGCCACCGCTCCCGCCTGGGGTCGGGCAAAATCTCTCCTCGGTCGTCGCTCGCTGCACGCGCCGGAGCCGAACTCAAACTCCTCTCAAACTCCTCGCGCCTCTCAAACTCCTCAAACTCCTCGCGCCTCTCAAACTCCTCGCGCCTCTCAAACTCCTCGCGCCTCTCAAACTCCTCAAACTCCTCAAACTCCTCGCGCCTCTCAAACTCCTCGCGCCTCTCAAACTCCTCAAACTCCTCAAACTCCTCGCGCCTCTCAAACTCCTCACGCCTCTCAAACTCCTCAAACTCCTCGCGCCTCTCAAACTCCTCAAACTCCTCGCGCCTCTCAAACTCCTCGCGCCTCTCAAACTCCTCTCAAACTCCTCGCGCCTCTCAAACTCCTCGCGCCTCTCAAACTCCTCGCGTTCCGGGGGAAGCTCTCTGCGCGAGATGATGCAGAACCCCCGCGAAAGAGAAAGTCTGGTGGTGGTGGTGGTGACCACGCTGCGTGTACACCGCGCTGACCACCCCACCCATACACCCCCTCGTGTGCCACAGAGCTGTGTGTGTGTACTACGCGTGTGTGTACCTGTGTGTGTGTACCTGTGTGTGTGTACGTGTGTGTGTGTGTGTGTACCTGTGTGTGTGTACCTGTGTGTGTGTACCTGTGTTTGTGTGTGTACCTGTGTTTGTGTGTGTACCTGTGTGTGTGTGTGTACGTGTGTGTGTGTGTGTGTACCTGTGTGTGTGTGTGTACCTGTGTGTGTGTGTGTACCTGTGTGTGTGTGTACCTGTGTGTGTGTACCTGTGCGTGTGTACCTGTGCGTGTGTGTGTGTACCTGTGCGTGTGTGTGTGTACCTGTGCGTGTGTGTGTGTACCTGTGCGTGTGTGTGTGTACCTGTGCGTGTGTGTGCACCTGTGTGTGTGTGTGTACCTGTGTGTGTGTGTGTACCTGTGTGTGTGTGTACCTGTGTGTGTGTGTACCTGCGTGTGTGTGTGTACCTGTGTGTGTGTGTACCTGTGTGTGTGTATGTACCTGTGTGTGTATGTACGTGTGTGTGTGTATGTACCTGTGTGTGTGTGTATGTACCTGTGTGTGTGTGTATGTACCTGTGTGTGTGTGTATGTACCTGTGTGTGTATGTACGTGTGTGTGTATGTACCTGTGTGTGTGTGTGTACCTGTGTGTGTGTGTGTACCTGTGTGTGTGTGTGTACCTGTGTGTGTGTGTGTACCTGTGTGTGTGTGTGTACCTGTGTGTGTGTGTGTGTACCTGTGTGTGTGTGTACCTGTGTGTGTGTGTACCTGTGTATGTACCTGTATGTGTGTATGTGCCTGTGCGTGTTGTCGCCACGCAGGAGCTCCGCGCTCCGCACCGCCGCGCCGCGTCTACCAGGGCGTGCGAGTCCGCAACACCGTCAAGGAGCTGCTGGCGGCCGTGCGGGAGGAGGGGGGCCACAGCAGCGGCCGCAGAGGCCCGGGGGGCCACCGGAAGGCCCCCGCGGCGGCCGCACGCCAACCGCACCGCCACGTGGTAGCTGCCGCACAGACAAAGGTCCCCCCTGAGGTAGCTCACGCAGGCCGGTGAGGCAAGTTCTGCTTAGCGAGGAGCGCCTACGAAGGCCGGAAAAGGCACAGGAGCGGGGAGGAGTGACCGTAAAAAACGGCCCGGACGCCTTTGTCTCCCCGGCGGTGTTTACACTGCCATTTGCGGCCGAGTCGACCTAGGCGAGGCCCAAGACCGGTTCAGATAATGTTCACTGATTTTGGTGGCTGTGAGCGGGAATCGAACTCGGGGGGGGGGGGAGGGGCTGGGTTCGTAGCTTAACGCGCTCGCCACTCACTCACACGCTCACCCAATCACCCACTCACTCACCCACTCACTCACTCACCCACTCACTCACTCACCCACTCACTCACCCAATCACCCACTCACCCACTCACCAACTCACTCAGCCACCCACTCACTAACTCACTCACTCACCCACCAACTCACTCACCCACTCACTCACTAACTCACCCACTCACTCACTCACCCAATCACCCACTCACCCACTCACTCACTCACCCAATCACCCACTCACTCACTCACCCACTCACTCACCCAATCACCCACTCACCCACTCACCAACTCACTCAGCCACCCACTCACTAACTCACTCACTCACCCACCAACTCACCCACCCACTCACTCACTAACTCACCCACTCACTCACTCACCCACTCACCCACTCACTCACTCACCCACTCACTCACTCAATCACTCACCCACTCACTCACCCACTCACTCGCACGCTCACTCACCCACTCACTCGCACGCTCACTCACCCACTCACTCACTCACCCACCCACTCACTCACTCACCCACCCACTCACCCACTCACTCACTCACCCACCAACTCACCCACCCACCAACTCGGCCATCACTCACGAAACCAGTCGCTCACTAAACTCGGGCAATGTTCCTTTCATTTCAGGCGCAAGATTCTCTGAATTACTGCGCAGACTTCCGAGGTGAGGCCATTATCTTCATAATTCATTGGCAAACAACCATCCGCAGGAGTGCACGCAGACACGCAGACACAGACAAAGCTCACCCGTGCGGTATACAGAGCCCGCTGGGGCAAGTGCTGCGAGCGAGTGTCGAGCTGGCGCCTACAAAGGCCGGCACGGCGCCCGGATGGGGGCCTTGGTGCAACAAACACCGCGCCCGGCCGCCTTTGTCTCCCCACCGAAGCATAAATCAGAGCCGAGACATTCGAGTGGATATGAGAGCGGAGAGAAGCAACGAGAAGTCGGCGGGAAGACGAGGAAGCCTGCTGCACCGGCACACTCGGTGGAAACCAGCGGAGGAGTCGGCCCTCTGACCACCCCACACTCTGACCATGCCCTCTGACCCCCCCACACTCTGACCCCCCCACACTCTGACCCCACCCTCTGACCCCCCCCACACTCTGACCCCACCCTCTGACCATGCCCTCTGACCTCCCACCCTCTGACCCCCCCACACTCTGACCCCACCCTCTGACCCCGCCCTCTGACCCCGCCCTTTGAACCCACCATCTGACTCCGCTCTCTGACCCCGCCCTGACCATGCCCTCTGACCCCCCACTCTCTGACCCCCCACCCTCTGACCCCACCCTCGACCCCGCCCTCTAACCCTGCCCTCTGCCCCTGCCCGCTGTGATGTCGCCCTCCACCCCGCAGACCGGCCCACCCCACAGGCTGCCCACTGTCCCCACCACCCTCACCACCACCCTCACCACCACCCTCACCACCAGCCTCACCCTCACCACCACCCTCACCACCACCCTCACCACCCGGGTGGGGGCGCCGCCATGGCCGAGGGGGCGTTGTACGGAACTCAGCCGTGCCCCGGGGGGACGCCCGGACTCACGCCCGGACTCACGCCCACCCACTACGCCGACTGCCTGCCTCCAGAGGTGATCCCCTCCTCCTCCTCCTCATCCTCCTCCTCCCCCTCCATTTTCCTCCTCCTCGTCGTCCTCCCCCTCCATTTTCCTCCTCCTCGTCGTCCTCCTTCCCCTCCTCCTCCCCCCCGGGGGGGGCCCTCACACACAAAGACAAAAGTACCCCCCCCCTGTGTAGGCTTTACCGGGCTCCTTGGGGGTCAAGTGCTGGGAGCGAGCAGCTGTGGAGGGGGACGCCTATCGGTGCGGTGTTGTCCAGCACGCCCACCCGCCTTTGTCTCCGCCAGTGCTGGTGTTTACACACCGCACCAGGTGCTCAATTTGAGGCTGAGTCGACCTAGGGGCAAGCCCCACGACCCCCCCCGGCGTAGCCTCAATGGGCTGTTGGGGCAAGTGCCGTTAGCGAGCACTCAGAAGCTGTTGGTGGCCGCGATCGGGAATCCAACTCGGGCCTTTGCCAGGTTTGTAGCGTAGCAGCGCGCTGACCACTGCCCCATCGCTCCCTAGCACCGCCGCCGCCGCCGCCATCGTCCGGCTAATCCTCTCCGTCTTCTAAATTAACCCCTCCCCAGATCGCCTTCCAGTACTGCGAGCAGCCTGCGGCCTACATAGGCGAGGTTGGCCTGGTGGAGTCAGCGGGGCCTCCCTACGGCCTCTCGCAGTTCCCGGCCTTCCACTCGGCCAATCTCGACCAAGGGCTGGACAACAACCACCACCACCATAACAGCCACCACAACCACCACCACCTCGCCCACAACCTGCACAGCCTCCACCAGGAGGGGCCGATCAACAGCGGAACCACCTACACGGTAAGGCGGCATTCTTCATTGCCAAGGTCACTGGCGGCCCCTGGTGTGGCCTTCAGTGCGGCCCTCCCTGACAGTACACAAAGAGTGAGAACACCCCTCGTCCTCGTCATTGTCCTCGTCATTGTCCTCGTCATTGTCCTCGTCATTGTCCTCGTCATTGTCCTCGTCATTGTCCTCGTCATTGTCCTCGTCATTGTCCTCGTCATTGTCCTTGTCATCGTCATTGTCCTTGTCATCGTCATTGTCCTCGTCATCGTCATTGTCCTCGTCATCGTCATTGTCCTCGTCATCGTCATTGTCCTCGTCATCGTCATTGTCCTCGTCATTGTCATCGTCATCGTCATCGTCATTGTCATCGTCGTCATTGTCATCATCGTCATTGTCATCGTCGTCGACGTCATCGTCGTCGGCCTGCTGTCAAACCCCCCAGTGGTTTTAAATGTGTGGCAGCCCTCGCTCACTGATTGATGTCTTACTGGCGAAAGTCAACATGAGCCAAAAGCACAGCAGTAAAGGAGGAGATGGGAGGTCTCATGATGGAGCTGCCCGCCCCGAGCTCTCAATGCCCTGATAGTGGCATTGTCTTTGTGCTGTTCGCCTCTTGGCATTGTCCTCTGGTCTCTAACGCTGTTAGTGAGACGAGGCTCTAAAGGAAGCTGTCTCTTGTGTGTACCAATCGGTTTCAAAGACAACGCATCATCATGTACTGCCAGAGCATCGTTTTATGTTTGCATGTTCACCACAAGTACGTGCGGTTAATGCAGACAGGATTCCTTGCAAAGAGGTTTCTGTTTGGTGTTTAAACATCTTAACACAACAGTTTTATTGCCAAAAAGGGTAAAAACCTATTCTTATAAGGAGGAGATGGTGTTGGAGGTCAGTCCTTAAGTCTTTCACTTGAAAAGAAAAAATATTGATGTTGATTGGCTGCGGCTCTGTAATCATCTACTCAGTGGGCTGAATTTGATTGATGTTGATTGGCTGCGGCTCTGTAATCATCCACTTAGTGGACTGAGTTTGATGGATGTTGATTGGCTGCGGCTCTGTAATCATCTACTCGGTGGGCTTGAGTTTGATTGATGTTGATTGGCTGCGGCTCTGTAATCATCCACTCAGTGAGCCGAGTTTGATTGCTGTTGATTGGCTGCGGCTCTGTAATCATCCACTTAGTGGGCTGAGTTTGATGGATGTTGATTGGCTGCAGCTCTGTAATCATCCACTCAGCAGACACTCAGCATAACAATCAAATTACGAATAATTATATTATAAATACATTGCTAGAATGCATTGTATATGGACTAATTAAACGAGATCAATACATTCTTTACTACAAATGTTTGCTTTGTTCATTAGGAAACTCAACTTTCTTAACTTACATGTTTACCTGCATTGGCGGTTGTTGGCAGATAGACCTTTTTTTTATCCCCGTGATTTTTTAATAATCTGCGCCCATCCTCCACGTCATGAGCACGGAGAATCGAGAGTGTCGTAGTTGTTTATTTGCGCGGATTAATGAGGCAGTGGCTCCATCATCAACACCACCATCATCATCTATAACACAACCATCATCTTCATCAACACCACCACCATCTTCATCAACACCACCATCTTCATCAACACCACCACCATCATCAACACCACCACCATCATTATCATCAACACCACCACCATCATTATCATCAACACCACCACCATCATTATCATCAACACCACCACCATCATTATCATCAACACCACCACCATCATTATCATCAACACCACCACCATCTTCATCAACACCACCACCATCTTCATCAACACCACCACCATCTTCATCAACACCACCACCATCTTCATCAACACCACCACCATCATCACCAACACCACCACCATCATCATCAACACCACCACCATCTTCATCAACACCATCTTCATCAACACCACCACCATCTTCATCAACACCACCACCATCTTCATCAACACCACCACCATCATCACCAACACCACCACCATCATCACCAACACCACCACCATCATCACCAACACCACCACCATCATCACCAACACCACCACCATCATCACCAACACCACCACCATCTTCATCAACACCACCACCATCTTCATCAACACCACCACCATCATCAACATCACCACCATCATCATCAACACCACCACCATCATCGGCAGCAGCACCATCACCTTCATAGATGCTGCTCGCTTAACAGCACTTGCCCCAACAGTGCGTCACAGGCTACACAATCTGTCATTCCCGTGTCCGTGCGTGCAGGCGCGCGTGTTCGAGGCGCCCCTGTACAGCGCGTCCGCCCGGGTCGGCCTGGGGGCCCCCTACGCCGGATTCGAGGGGTTCCTGAGTGGGGGGGGCCCATCCGCCTACAGCCCCCAGGGGGAGGTCCACGATGGCCTCCTGGACCTGAGCGTCGGCCACGCGGACGCGGGCAGGGAGACGCTGCCCGAGGTGAGGCGAGCAGCATCACCAGCAGCATCACCAGCAGCATCACCAGCAGCAGCAGGAGCAGCATCACCAGCAGCATCACCAGCAGCATCACCAGCAGCATCACCAGCAGCAGCAGGAGCAGCATCACCAGCAGCATCACCAGCAGCATCACCAGCAGCATCACCAGCAGCAGCAGGAGCAGCATCACCAGCAGCATCACCAGCAGCATCACCAGCAGCATCACCAGCAGCATCACCAGCAGCAGCAGGAGCAGCATCACCAGCAGCATCACCAGCAGCATCACCAGCAGCATCACCAGCAGCATCACCAGCAGCATCACCAGCAGCAGCAGGAGCAGCATCACCAGCAGCAGCAGGAGCAGCATCACCAGCAGCATCACCAGCAGCATCACCAGCAGCAGCAGGAGCAGCATCACCAGCAGCATCACCAGCAGCATCACCAGCAGCTTCATTATCAGCGTCGTCACTAGCGTCATCATCAGCAGCAGTGTCATCAGTAGCAGCATCGGCAGCAGCAGTAGCATCAGCAGTGTCAGCAGCAGCATCAGTAGCAGCAGCATCAATATAATCAGCGTCATCATCAGCAGTACCATCACAGTCTTCATCAAACTTGCCAAATCACTTGCTCGCTAACTCACTCTGTCTCTCTCTCCCCGTGTGCGTCTCTCTGTCCCCGTGTCTCTCTCTCCCCGTCTCGTTCATACGTAGAGGAGTCCCTTATTCTGATGCTGATGTATCCTCCTCCTCCTCTAGGGCTACATATTTGGAGCAATCAGCACCGGCTATGGCTTCACGGGGGTCGAAGGTCAGAGCTCGCCAGACCTTCCGGGCGACTCTGCGGAGGAGCAGTGGATGCTCGGCTCAACCGGGACGCAGCAGCAACCGCCACCTCCTCCGCCTCCTCATCCACCTCCTCATTGAGCGAGGGTTCTCCTGTCTCGGCGTCGGCTGCAGCAGCTGCAGAATAAGAAGCACAGCTGTTGTCAGCAGCAGCAGCATTAGCAGAAGCAGCAAACCCGACGAGCACAACTATCATCATCATCAGCAGCAGCAGCTGCTACATCAGACACACAAACAACATCAGCAGCAGCAGCAGAATCGGGACCAGCAGCTGCATTAGACGCACTATTATGGTGCCTTTGATTATGGTGATGGTGGTGGTGATAATGTTGGTGGTGTTGATGATGGTGCTGTTGGTGATGACAACGATGGTGGTAACGATGACAGCGGCTGTGGTGTTGACGCATCATCCGACAGTTTTTTTGTCCTTTCCCCCCGCACCTGCAATTAGCACGGTTGGCTACGTACGGTGGTGCAAAAGAGGTTCAACACACACTCAACATATATCAACAACTGCCACCATCTACTGTCAAGATGCACATCCACTGTGATCCCCACTGCATGAACTCCAGCTACAATACTCCCCCTATTGAGACATCCAAACCACTGTGAACCCCACTGGATGAACTTCAGATACAATGCTCCTCCTATTGAGACATCCAAACCACTGTGAACCCCACTGCATGAACTCCAGCTACAATACTCCCCCTATTGAGACATCCAAACCACTGTGAACCCCACTGGATGAACTTCAGATATGACCCTCCCCTATTGTAGGCATCAAAACCACTGAACCCCAGGGGATGAATTCCATATACAAAACTCCACCCATGTTAGATATCCAAACCACTGTGAACCCTAGGGGATGAACTCCAGGTATGACACTCTCCCCCATTGTAGACATCCAAACCATTGTACAAAGATCCACCCATATACTTCCCTATGGCGTTTATGAATTTTAATATAATTATTATTTCTAAAAGTTATGTAACGATTGTTAATTAATTCACATTTCGGGATGTTTACTTGTGGGGTTAAAGACGTGCGTGTGTGGGGTAGAGTGGGTGAATAAAGTCTTAAAATGTGATTTAGATATACTTTTAAAATATATATTGTGGTGGAAGCTTAAAGGAGCAAGCCCCTGCAGTTGCCCATCTGGCAAGAGCAGCAGCAGCAGCCGGGGGGGGGGGGGGTGGTGGTGGTGATGGTGGTGGTGCTGGTGGTTCTTCTGTGTACATAACAGGGGGTGTGGGAGAATCTCGAAGAGGGCGTGCGAGTTACCGCCGCTTTACCCCCACCACACGTGGCCTGACCGAACGTAGACTTTTATTTTATAGACATTACACGGGCAGCGTCTCGCTTAACAACTGATATAGGTTCTGCGAACAATTTGCTCGTTATGAAAAATAAAAATAGATTTTACTCATTCTGTCAATAAAACAGGTGTTAAGATGTTCAGACACCAAATAGACACCTTTTGCAAGGAAACATCTGCATTAACCACACACGGTACTTGTGGTGAACATGCAAAGAAACTGATAATATATTATGTATTGTATTTGAAACTGATTGACCTACACCAGAGACAGCATTCCTTTGAAGAGAAACATCCTTTTTTAGAAGGCTGTCTTTAGAAGGCTGAGAGGTTTTCTGCTTCTGCTAATGCTGCTGATGACGTGTAGACTCATAGGCCTCGTGTAGACCCATAGGCCTCGTTTAGACCCATAGGTCTCGTGTAGACCCATAGGCCTCGTGTAGACCCATAGGCCTCGTGTAGACCCATAGGCCTCGTGTAGACCCATAGGCCTCGTGTAGACCCATAGGCCTCGTGTAGGCCCATAGGCCTCGTGTAGGCCCATAGGCCTCGTGTAGGCCCATAGGTCTCGTGTAGGCCCATAGGCCTCGTGTAGACCCATAGGTCTCGTGTAGACCCATAGGTCTCGTGTAGACCCATAGGTCTCGCGTAGGCCATAGGCCTCGTGTCACCCCCCCCCAGGCCTCGCATAGGCCAAAAGTCTCATGAAGGCCCATAGGCCTCGTGTAGGCCGCATGAAGTTGTGGGGTGTAGTTTCCCCACCCCGGTTCTGAAGGGAATACTTTTTTATGTACATAAAAGGGATTTTGGAATATAATATTTAAAGCATAGGATTTCATAGTCGATACAATGATGTTTGTTTTCTCTCCAGAGTTAGGCCACGCGGTCCATGGTCGTTTTTCATGTCAACAAATTCTGGTCACACACTGCCGCTAAAGCAGCAACCAAGTTTACGCGGATAGTAGTATCATCATCATCGTTATTATTTACACATGGCCGGTCTATCAACCAGAATCTGACTGATATATACCGTATATCAAAAGATTGGCACGATTCCATAGATGTAAGGATGGTATTCGTGTGGCCAATGTATCAATCTGAATGTGACCGACATATCCGGTCGATAAACCGGCACATATGGACTATGATGCCTGTGAAAACGTGGCAATCTCGTCGGCTTTTTACAAATATGGATTCGGATGATTTTATATATATTTTAATTTCGTGTTGTTTTTTAAAGTTGTGGTTTAAGTTTAAATGAGAAAGGTATATATATATCAAGCGTTTTGTACAACCTGTGGCTCACAGAGCCAGACCAGAGCACAAAGATAACAGGAATGTGATTCGAGTGGGAGACTTGCGGAGCCACGCGGAGCCACGCGGAGCCAGACTCCATGTAGTGGATCATCGCTATCAGCCAATCGGTTGCGCTGCGGAGGCAAGTGGGCCCAGCGTTGGTCTCGCGGTTCCAACCCCATGCCAACTTTGGCCTAGCGGTTCTTGCCACATACCAACGTTGGACCAACGTTGGACCAACGTCGGTCTCGCCGTTGCAACCACATGCTAACGTTGGTCTATCGGTTCAAACCATATCCCAACGTTGAACTAACCTTGGCCTAGTGGTTCCAACTACATGCCAACGTTCAGACCAACGTGAGTCCAGCAGTTAAAAACCAACGTTGGCGCAATGTTGAGCCAACGAGATGGCGGTCCTACAGAGCAAAGCGGCTAAGTGGTGGTGCCTTCATCCAGCAGCGGATTGAAGGCGGGGGGGGAGGGTCGTGTAACTCGGTGTGCTTCTCAGGTGGGGAGGCTACGTGGTGGGACCCCTATTGGGGGTGGTGGTACGCGAGGTGATTGATAAATGTGCGTGAAGTCGTCGCACGCGAGAGCCATTGGTGTATGGTCATGTTGTACGAATCTGCCAGCAATAAAATGACGATGATGAAAAAAAATTGTAAAATGGGAACCTAGAACAATCTAAAAAGACCTTTTTATAAACTCGTAAACAATGTGGTTTCAAAGAGTACACAAATAACGTCATGCATGCGGTCCGTTTAAATTTAGTTTTTGTATTCGCTTGCAAGTTGCGTCGCTAGTTAGGGATATACCTCACAAATGGACAACTGGCTATGAAAATGTCGATGTTCATCAATTCATACATTTGTTTCTCAGAACCATGTTGGGTCAGGAAAAGGGAGAGGCTGGGTTGGTTACTCGGTTGAAACTAAATTCAACAAAGTGGGGTCACAGTACAGTAGAACCGCTCTTGACCATTCTCTTGTTCACAACTCGTGGCTTAACGACCTCCTTAGAGCCCTGTGTTGTTCGCTTAACGACCTCCTTAGAGCCCTGTGTTGTTCGCTTAACGACCTCCTTAGAGCCCCGTGTTGTTCGCTGAACGACCTCCTTAGAGCCCCGTGTTGTTCGCTTAACGACCTCCTTAGAGCCCCGTGTTGTTCGCTTAACGACCTCCTTAGAGCCCCGTGTTGTTCGCTTAACGACCTCCTTAGAGCCCCGTGTTGTTCGCTTAACGACCTCCTTAGAGCCCCGTGTTGTTCGCTTAACGACCTCCTTAGAGCCCCATGTTGTTCGCTTAACGACCTCCTTAGAGCCCCGTGTTGTTCGCTTAACGACCTCCTTAGAGCCCCGTGTTGTTCGCTTAACGACCTCCTTAGAGCCCTGTGTTGTTCGCTTAACGACCTCCTTAGAGCCCTGTGTTGTTCGCTTAACGACCTCCTTAGAGCCCTGTGTTGTTCGCTTAACGACCTCCTTAGAGCCCCGTGTTGTTCGCTTAACGACCTCCTTAGAGCCCTGTGTTGTTCGCTTAACGACTTCCTTAGAGCCCTGTGTTGTTCGCTTAACGACCTCCTTAGAGCCCTGTGTTGTTCGCTTAACGACCTCCTTAGAGCCCCGTGTTGTTCGCTTAACGACCTCCTTAGAGCCCCGTGTTGTTCGCTTAACGACCTCCTTAGAGCCCCGTGTTGTTCGCTTAACGACCTCCTTAGAGCCCCGTGTTGTTCGCTTAACGACCTCCTTAGAGCCCCGTGTTGTTCGCTTAACGACCTCCTTAGAGCCCCGTGTTGTTCGCTTAACGACCTCCTTAGAGCCCTGTGTTGTTCGCTTAACGACCTCCTTAGAGCCCCGTGTTGTTCGCTCAGTGACCATCCCCCTGTTCACGACTCGTGGCTTAATGACGAGCATGCAATCGCCAGTTTCGGCCAATCGGTGAGCTATGAAGTGGTCTGTCCAAGCCTCGGCCAATCGGCGTCGTCCATTCATGAGCCTTGTAACGGGGGGGGGGGGGGGGAATAGTTTACATTCGACATCCGCTGTGCTTTGAAGTGTACAAATATCTCTTGAATTGCAGGTGTCGCTTGCACTTGCCAATGACGAGCTTCACGACAGAATCGCTCCAATTGCCGTCGTTAAGAGGAGGTTCTGTCAAGGTTGAGAAGCAAGCTGCCTGTGAATCAAATCGAACTCGACTCACGTAGCACAATTCGTGCATGAAATGGCAACGCAAAGTGCTTTACAAGACAACTCAAAAGCCACCGACACAATTTCAGCGACAATAAGATGGAATACGCGAACAACAAAAAGAGACGTTACAATGAAGTAAAGGTGTAATAAAGGTGTAATAAAAAGCGCACTGAGCACACCGTCAGGTGCATCCGAATTAAAAAGGCAATGTAAAGAGGGCACGTGCTTTAAGATGTGTTTTCTCTTGTTTTAAACCCATCCACTGGTCCCAACGCCCTCATCCCCAGACGTTTATTATCATTGTGGTTTCCCCAACGTCCTCGCTGTCCCGTCGCGTTAATGCGGCTCGCAACACGCGCCCTGAGGACCCCCGCGGGGTTCACCCCCGTGCCCTGAGGACCCCCGTGCCCTGAGGACCCCCGTGCCGTGAGGACCCCCGTGCCGTGAGGACCCCCGTGCCGTGAGGACCCCCGTGCCGTGAGGACCCCCGTGCCGTGAGGACCCCCGTGCCGTGAGGACCCCCGTGCCGTGAGGACCCCCGTGCCGTGAGGACCCCCGTGCCGTGAGGACCCCCGTGCCGTGAGGACCCCCGTGCCGTGAGGACCCCCGTGCCGTGAGGACCCCCGTGCCGTGAGGACCCCCGTGCCGTGAGGACCCCCGCGGGGTTCACCCCCGCGTCTTCCTGCGCGGGGACATTCCCCGTGCAGCTCCATGCGGCACACGGCCGCTTCAATCAATGCGGGCAGCAGCAGCAACAACAACAAGAACTTAGTTGTCGATGTGTTTGTGTTTATCCCTTGTGATGGCACTTTGCAGGATGAACGTTGAGACGTACAAGAGGCACCGGGGTGGCTTGTCTCACTTGGTCTGTCGTAAGGGTGAGGCACAAGGGGTTGACGGCTCTGTGGTGGTGACATTGCCTCTCTAACCACCCCCCACGCGCCCACGGGCGGGAGAATTCCCGTGCCAAGTGTTGCAAGGGAACAAGAAATGCCGAAAGTAAATATTGTTTTTGGATGGTAGCGACTGTCTGCTGAGTGTGCTCGAGTGCGAGCCCGTGTTTGTCTTGGCGCTAATAGGCGCTCGCAAACACCACTTGCCCGATAAGCCTCATTATACCAACAGACACCCCTGCGTGTGTGATTGTGTGCGCTGAGGGTGTGTATTGTGTAAAGACGATAGGGGGTATTGGTTAGCGCTCTGCGCTACGAACACGGCCACCCGGGTTCGATTCCCGCTCACGGCCAACACCACAGGTGACGATTATCTGAACCGGTCCTGGGCCTCCCCTAGGTCGACTCGGCCTCAATTGAGTACCTGGTGCGGTGTGTAGTAAACATCGCCACTGGGGAGACAAAGGCGGCCGGGCGCGTTGCTGGCCACCAACCCCCTCGT